GAAGCGTGTGGTGATGAAAGTTCGAACCTTGTTTGCATTAAAATCACAAACCCGTCCATCTCATGTACATTTATTCCTGACGACATGGAAGCATTCTTATCATAGACACCTACCTCCATGCTATCTTATTATCATCGAGCCTACAAGAAACCGATTCTGGCGAGTGTCACCCAAGCTACACTTGCCTCTGTCTCCAACACCCACCCCATCACACAGTATTTTCAACCATTGCTTCATAGTAAACAACCACTGGAGAGCGTCACACAAGACGGACTTGCACTGGTCTTTGATGCATACTCCAAGAAGAGAAGACACAAATCCCCTGCGTCATCAACAAATTCTTTGGTCTCTAACACACTCAACCGTACCATACAAACTACTATGAACCAATACTTCACTTAAATATGTCCTCGTCTGAGTCCAGTCCTTGGCCTTCAATGACCTATCAGAGTTCATACAACCTGGTCGCGCCTCCATAACAACTCCTCGGAGGGATGCGCCRCCCCTCGGAGCAGCTAGAAGCATTCTTTCTCACGAAAGCAATGGTTCTKGCCTTCCTAGTGCCTCTTCTAGTTCACGAGGTTAAATATAATATTAATTTTTTTTTTAGTAACCTCGTGCTGCGTGGTTACATGTAATTTCGTTGCTACTCAATTGATTACTTATGTGATATAATCGGCGAGCTAGTACTCGCAGATTACGTGTAATCCGTATGTAATCTGATCATCCGTACTCTGGAAAACGCTCCTTAAGGGAAAAAAAAATTATGTGCAGTTGAGCGCGATAGCGCGAGACTGCACATATTTTTTTTCTCCCTTAAGGAGCGTTTTCCAGAGTACGGATGATCAGATTACATATGGATTACACAAGTAATCCAACTGAAGCTGAGGACGAGAGCTTTGCTCGAGACCGAGTCTGAAGTTTGATTACTGCTTCAGTAGACTGCTGCGAGTAGCTCGCCGATTATTTACGTAATCCACTTGTTGCTTGCTTTTCGTGTGTAATCACCATAACGGGGGCTATTTGTATTCGCTTTTCATGGGTAATCAGGTGCTTGGATGAGCCAGCCGCTGATACGATACGGAGGACGCTCGATGATATGATACTACGGAGGAGGAGCCAGCCGCTGATACGATACGGAGGACGTTCGATGATACAATACGGAGGACGCTCGATGATACGATATGGAGGAACCAGCCGCTGATACGATACGGAGGACGCTCGATGGATGATACGATACGGAGGAGCCAGCCGCTGATACGATACGGAGGACACTCGATGATACGATACGGAGGAGCCAGCCGCTGATACGGAGGACACTGATACGAGTTGCTGATACGGAGGAGCTAGATACGGCGGACTACGCTTGCCGATTTCTACTGTAGAGTACAAAGTTGAGTGAGCTCAGTTGAAAACAAAAAATTGTTCTAGGAGGTGATCGACCTCGAAAAAAGTAATCCATGATGAAAATTTTGTTTTCGGAGTTGTAATCCGATTCAGCCAAACAACTAGCAATACCGTGTTAAAAAATAAGGCTCTTGCTCTGTAGAGCGCTGAATACAATTTTGGATTACATGAAATCCATTTTGCTGGTTTGTAATCCATCAAGGTGCGAGATTTAAGCAGAAAATCAACTAGTGTTTGTTAGTGCGCGATTACATGTAATCATTTTGTAATCCAGCGCGCGTGATTACACGTGAAAAGCGAGCAACTGGTGGATTACTTGCAGTAACCGTTGAGCAGCTCAACATTTCCATGTAACCACGCGCGCTTGGTTACTGCRCGGATACAAAAAACTAACACTAACAAACACTAGTTATTTTTTGCTTAAATACACGCACCTCAACATGGTACAAGCGCGCTGATTGAGTTTTTGTAACCAGAAATTGTAACCAAACCCTTCCTCAAGGAGAGCCCATATTTTCACCACGATAACACTAGTAGTGTGGTTACAAAAAAACCGGGTCTGGTTACAAAAAAAAAGGGTCTGGTTACAAAAACAGGCGCACTGGTTCCCTTATGCGCGCTTGTAACCAGGCGTATGCACCTCAACAGGTACGAACTAAAAACTGTCTTCACTACTGCAAATACGTAGTATCAGTATGTTGAGCTGCTCAACGGTTACGTAAATATCTGTGGAAGAGCTAGCGCAGCACAACAAGTACTATCTTCAGCAACACCAACAACAAGCTCTCGAGCTAAAGCTCTCGAGCTTGTTGGTGGTGTTGCTGAAGATAGTACTTGCAGTAACATCACTTCGATCTCAAGCTAAAGCTCTCGATCTCAGTGATGTCACTGGTGTAACCAAATTGTAACCAGAATTTTGTACCTTGGCGTGTCCGTGTTATTATCACGGGAAAATTTTTGTAACCGTCTGGTTACTCAGTTTTTGCCTAGTAACCGCGCGCTAAATTACTGCGCGTTACCAAAAAAATCGAGTGATCAGTTGCTAACAAATGCGTGTTATTTTTCTTCAATATTAATTGCAGCTCGACTGGATGACTGATTACTCGACAAAATTAGTAATCAAATTGGTAATCAGGGAAGCAGCTGTACAAATCCTACTGGAAGCTGTTGGCATCAAGTTTGCTTGCATCAACAGAGAAGCAGTAATCAAATCAATTGCTATTTTCAATTGATATTTTCAGTGCGCTAATTGCTAGTACGCAAAAAGGAGTAATTAACAGTAGCAACACGTACTAGGAAAAAAAATTCAGATTTTAGCAAAATTGAGCAGTCTAGTGCCTTGATATCTAATTTTGTCGTAGAATCCTACATCGATTTTGTACCAGAAACAGAAAATAAGGACTGATTTCAGTCGTCAGAAGCAAAAAAAGAAGCAATAGTACTATCCGGAGAGGGACCAGGGAGGGAAAAGAGCCCATTCCCCTACATCAGAGGAGGCAGTGCTTGTAGTTCATTTGCAGGATCCAGGGAGGGAAAAGAGCCCATTCCCCTATATCGCAGAGGCAGTGCTTGTAGTTTGTTTGCCGTATTTTTGTATTGTATCGTATCAGCGGACACCGTATCAGCGACTCGTATCAGCGGACAC